CTGAATCCATCATTTGGTGGATCATCATTACCAGAGAAGGTTCATAATGAGAAGAACTCATCTGAAGAAGGAAGAAGAAGTTCATAATGAGAAGAATTTGTTCAACCTTTTACCTGAATCCATCATTTGGTGGATCATCTTTTCCAGAGAAAGTTCATAATGAGAAGAACTCATCTGAAGAAGGAAGAAGAAGTTCATAATGAGAAGAATTTGTTCAACCTTTTACCTGAATCCATCATTTGGTGGATCATCTTTTCCAGAGAAAGTTCATAATGAGAAGAACTCATCTGAAGAAGGAAGAAGAAGTTCATAATGAGAAGAACTTGTTCAACTTTTTGTTTAAATTCATCATTTGATGGATCAACATGGCCAAAGAAAGTTCATGAATGAGAAGAACTCATCTGAAGAAGGAAGAAGAAGTTCATAATGAGAGGAGCTTGTTCAACCTTTGTTTGATATCATCTGAAGAAAGAAGAGAAAGTTCATAATGAGAAGAACTCATCAAGAGTTTATTCAACCTTTTGAATGACTCTATCACAGAAAGGAGGTCATCATCATCCCCAGCAGAGAGTTCATAATAAGAAGAACTTATTTGGAGAGAGAGAAGAATTTACTCAATATCTCCATTATAATCAAAGTAAAGTCAAATGGATAAAAAATTTTATTATCTTTTCATCTTTGCCCTATTCTTGTTAACACAAGAATGAGCAAAGAGGGGCAGCTGAAGATACTATTTTTTATCCATTTTATTATTATTATTATTAATATTAATATTATTATTATCATTATTATTATTATTATTATTATTATTATTATTATTATTTATTATTATTATTAATATATATATTATTATTATTATTATTTAATAATAATTACAACTGGACCGGCCCAGTTACAAGCCAACTAGAACCGGTCCAGCCAACCAGAAACCCTAAAACAATTAGTAAGGTTTCAGCTAGGGTTTCTAAACCCTAGCCACACCCAGCCGCCTCTGATGCTTCCAGATCCCAGCCGCCGCCTCACTGCCAAGTGGTCCAATGGCCCACTGCCGACGCCTCCGCCGCTGCCACGTCCGAATGAAGGCTCCAGAAGATTAACGACGGCCGTCCACGCCAAGGCTACGGGGTGAGTCACCACTGGTAGTCCGGTGACTCACCAAAGCCCTCTCTTCGGACCGGTCCGATGACCGCACCGGTGGTGGCTATAAAAGCCACCACCCACCTGCAAGACAAAAAAGGAGAGACAGAACGAGACACAGAAACAAAAAAAAAAGAAGAGAGAAATAGAACCGGAAAAAAAACAGAGAAAACAACAGCTACCAACGATCCCAGTCCATCACAACAGAGCAAAAACAAAAGGAAAAAGGAAGAAAAGAAACTTACCGAGGGAACCGTTGATCATCAGAGCCTTTTTGGAGCCATCGGAAAGTCAAAGGTCGAAGGTATAAACTTTAGATCTACGCATTTCAGTAGTATTTTAGGCTAAAAAACCTACGGATCTAGCTTTAGGAAAAACCAGGCTTTAATTTAGGGTGGGATTTATAATTTCCGGCCACCGGATATGGTGGCCGGCGGTGGTTTTGACGGTGGCCCACGGTGGCCGACTGATAACCAGCTTCCCTCCGATGAGGGAAGCTAGAGAGAAGGAAGAGAGAAAGCTTCTTCTCTCGTTTTTGAGAGAAGAAGAAGAAGAAAGAAATGAGATGCTGGCCCTTCGGGCCAGCTATGAATGGGCTTAAATAGCCCTCCCCAAACGACGCCGTTTTGGGGAGGGATCTGTCCGTAATTAATAAAAAGATTAACCTCTTCCGTCATCCCTTTAGTTTGTAATCTTTACCTTTTAGTCACTGAATCAAATTTTTGATTCTTTTAATTTGGTCTCTACATTTTATTTATTTATATTTTAGCCATTAACCGTATTAATAATATATTTAAGATAAATTTCATATTTAGTCCTTTAATTTTGATAAATAATATTTTAATCCCGAGTATATATTTTTAATTTATTTTAATATGATATTCGAATTTTATATAGTTTTAAATTAGTCACTAAATTAATAAAATACGAAAATAACATGTTTAAACCCTATAATTTTGAATTAGGTTTTTTTAATTTTAATTTTTACTATAATTTAGTCACTAATTTTAAATATTTTCATTTATTTACCACTTTTAAATATATTGTTCTAATTGTATTTTTATTGTTTTAATTGTTTATATATTAAAATAATTTTACTATTATTATATAGTCATAAATATATATGAATAATAATAATATTTTTTAATAAATTATTTTTTATATATCGAAGAAAAGGACAGTCTTAATACAACTGGATGTCCTATTCTGATGTTTTAAAATTAAACAATATTATTTAAATTAATATTTATCAATATCAAAGAAAAGAGCTGTCTTAAGGCACCTAGAAGTTCTTTTCTGATATTTTTAAATAAATAAATATTTTTTTATAATTTTGAAATAAATAGAATAATAAATTAAATATATTTTTGATTTTTTTTAAATTTTAATAATAGAGACAATTTATAATTAAAAAGTACCAATTTTGGGCGTTGTAGGGGTGCTAATCCTTCCCTAAACGTAACCGACCACGAACCCCTTTTTTTATTAAAAAGAACAAATTTTTGGTTATAAAACGCAGATCAGTTCATCTTTTAAATATGGTTTTCTTAAAAACTATTTTAAAAGAAAATTTTTAGGTATTCGACCTACCTGATCCAAAAGGTCGATGGCGACTCACAAATTATTTTCAAAATTATTTATTAACATTAATTTCCCCACCATAAATTAATATTTCGTGCCCGGACGAAAACCGGTTACGACACAAGGTCGACTAGAATATCATTTGAATTCCGTATATGGATACTCCCCGACTCGTTGAAGACGAGACGAGAACCGGCCCCGAGATTACTGTAACCTTCGTATGGTTTTCCGGTGAACATATCTATTTGATTAAGCACAAGAGATCCACCATCGAAATGAAGTTGATATTTCCCCTTACCGTAATTCGTTTCAGCCGAAATCGATGAAAGACTGCCATCGACATCCAATTCTTGACTCGGTAAGATGGTATCGGTTGGATCTTTGAAGCTTTCCCATATGTTGGTCGAGTTTCTGCTAACAATCACAAAGTTCCCGGTGTCGAGCATAGCTGCATGCGACACATGAGAACGGTCGGTCACGCTTCGAGACCTCCACAACTCGCGGCCCTTAGGGTCTCTAAGAACAAGATAACCGCTATCGATGAGCTCCACCGTCGATCCTCTATCGGTTTCCGGGTTATCCATATTAGCATACCAGACTATAGTTCTTTCTGGTATCTGAGCATACCCGATTGCAAGAAGAAACTTGTCCTTTTTATCAGGAATCCGATGAAACCCGAATCCGAATTCGCGATTACGCGATCCCCAAGTGAAGTTTCTATTGTCGGCATAGAGAGACTGGCCTACGGTGACATTTAGTTGAGCCTCAACTGCTGCAAGAATCAAAAGGATGGCTGTGAGAACAAGAAGGGAAAGGCGACAACGAAAAGGTGCAGAGATCATGGTACTTTTTCGTATATGAGTTCGACGAAATCGAATGAAAAACTAGGAACTTTGAGATCATTGAACCAACCTCGGTGACATTAAAAAGGTGCTGATGAAGTTGTTGGAAGTAACTTGCTGGAAAAGTCGCCTGATGAAACTTCAACCTTCTTTTAATTGTTGTTCCAATGGTGTTTTGATGATTACAGCCAATGGTTTGAAATTTCCGAAGAGCAGGTAACCTGACAATGACATTTTCAACTTTGAATTGTTGCATTCTTTGAAGCTTCAAATGAGTCCCACTTCATCTTCCTCTGTTAGCAGTAAATAAATAGATTTAGATATATATTCAAACACTTTAGATCTTCATTTCAACCCCTATACCCACGTCGACCACCGCCCTTTTTCGTCGACGAAGCTCCATCCGACCTCACCTCCTCCCAATGACCAAAACCCTTATGAAATCATGATCGATCGACGACGAATCGGCATTTTATACCTCGCAAATCCTACGATGAAAATCGCTTTCCCACGCAATTCCGACAACCAATCGGCGGAGGTGGTCATAGCCAGAAAGGGTGACGGGGTGGGTTAGGGTTATGATTTGAAGATTTTGGGACTTTTCTATAATTTAAATGAAATTAGAGTTCTTTTATAAATATAATAATATTTTTAATATATTTTTTTAAAAATAAATGTCAAAATTATCACATTGTAACCTATGTCACTAAACAGAGGAAATTAACGTCGTTCATGACCCGAGTATCTAAAATGATAACGTTTGTAATGTTAAATACCAAAATCATTTAAAGAATAGTTTAGACACTTATTCATGAAAAATGCTATAATTTGTGTACTTATTTTATAATTAAGCCTAAAAATAATGGAAAGTGTATGGTTCATAAACTATGGTACTATATAATTTATAGTTGGGGAATACGCATCCGTCCATGTATGTGTGCGTGCGTGGATGTAAGAATTAATGTAAGATTTTGTGATAAAGAACAAATTTATAAAATTTTAAAAGAATAAAAAATAAATTATTATAAAAAATATAAAATATCTAAAATAGGTAAATTTTTTATCGAATCCTAGATCATTAGCATATATGTATGGGGATGTTTAAGATACGACATCCTTAATATACGGTTAAGTAAAGACGTTATCGGAAATGTTAATATTTTTTAATATTTCCGGTAAAGTGCTTCTTAAAACATTATTTTTTATACCGGAAATGTTAATATTGAGCTAATTTATACTTGGTAAACAAATGTGAAAAAAATATCTCAGTTTCTATGTTTAGCAAATGTGATTCTCAAGTTATTTTTGGTTATCTGATTCAATGGAGTTCAGACAAAGATGAAGAGAAACAAAACATCATGACAAGTTATTCCTTGTGCTTTCCCGAGGGACCAAAGAGGATTTGGTTGCCTCCGGGAGAATTCGGTTCGACAATTCACGATGTCGTCCTTCGCGAGGAAGAAGACGAGGATGGGCTGTTTTTCGTGTTGCATGTCGGAGGAGGCCCTAACGAGGAGGGCATTGCAGAAGAGCATCATGGAACATCATGACACAAAAGTCTTGGCCTCATTGGCCAATATTTCATTTATCCCCGGTAAGGCGTTTTAAATCGAAATCGCGATCGCGTCGTGTTTGTCGTTGTTGCAGATGTAACGAACGTTACGTATGCCGTTACATGTTTTGAGAATATGCATCAGTATATCCTTGTTCACCTTGTTTAGGCCTCGTATTATATCAAAATATGTGTCGAATATAATTATCGAACACGGATATCTTCTTTGTTTGGCAGATAACAGCAGAAAGAGATGCACCAGCCAAGAAATTACAAAAGATTGCAGACACAATGCAGGTGCCAAGGTTTTCAGATACCGTGACATATGCGCCGCCACGAACAACTTCGACCCTCGTAATCAAATCGGCGAAGGCGGCTTCGGAAGAGTCTACAAAGGACTTATCGAAAACCAAAACAGAGTACATTATCAAATCTTATCTCTCTATCTATGTTATTCCGATTTTATACATTTAGAAGTTCGTATTTGTCATGCTATCGTTCGAATATATGTGTAACGTGGTGTCGGATACGACTAGAGTTTCGATTTACCGGATACGACGTGTTCAGGTGGTTGCTGTGAAGCAGATGGATAGGAATGGATATCAAGGGAACAAAGAATTCCTTGTTGAGGTTTTGATTTTGATTTTACTTAAACATCCTAACCTGGTTGAGATGGTGGGGTATTGCATTGATGAGGAGCAAAGGGTTTTAGTCTATGAATACATGGCTAATGGCTGCTTGGAGGATCATCTTATAGGTACGTTCGGATTTCCGATGTCAAAAATCGAATCCTCGTAAGCTACTATATGAACCGATTACGATGTTGTAAACGTGACGATGACATTCAGGTTTACCGCCGGACAGGACGCCGTTGGATTGGAATACCAGGATGAGAATCGCAGTAGGAGCGGCTAAAGGCCTTGAATACTTGCATGAAGTAGCTAATCCTCAAGTGATATACCGAGACTTCAAGACATCAAACATATTACTGGACGAGGATTTCAATCCGAAGCTCTCGGATTTCGGACTCGCGAAAGTCGGCCCGACCGGAGATGATCCGCACGTATTCTCCAGGGTTATCGGAACCTATGGTTACTGTGCACCCGAGTACATACAGACCGGTCAATTGTCAACGAAGTCCGACGTTTACAGCTTCGGAGTAGTGCTTTTGGAGATGATCACGGGAAGAAGAGCGGTAGACAATTCAAGACCACCACATGAAAGGAATCTCGTCACTTGGGTAAGTAACCGAACGTTTTTCGTAACCGTATCACGAGTTTTGAATCGATAACACCGGTCGTATTCCGTTTTTCGGCAGGCGAAACCGTTATTGGATCACAGAAGGAAGTTTGTGTTACTGGCTGATCCATTGCTGGATGGGGATTTCCCCATTAAGGGTCTCCACCAGGTGCTCACAATTGCAGCAATGTGTCTGCAGGAAGATCCGTCGCTTCGGCCATTGATGAGCTACGCCGTCGCGGCTCTCGAGTGCTTGATTACGAGCGACGGACCGGAAGAAGGGGAGAATATGGATCATGAAGATGATACATTATCATACGGTGGAGGTCTTTCTATATGAAAGGATGACTTGATTTGTGGTCACATTGCATGGCCTACAACTACAATGTAAGAAACGCAAAGCAAATTAACAACTGCGTCCATCTCAATTAAAATTCATCTATTTTTCTCAACTTCTATCTTCAATGCATATAAGAGTATTATTATTGAATGGCTTAATTATAAAATAAGTGACCAAATTATATCGCTTTTCACGAATAGGTGTCTAAATTATTCTTTGAATGATCCAGATGCCTAACGTTACCAATTTAGGTGCTCGGGCTATAACTGCCGTTAGTTTTCTCCGTTAAGTGTTATGTGTCACATTCTAGTAATTTTAAAATTTATTTATTTAAAAAAATTAAAAATATTATTATATTTATAAAAAAATATATTAATTTCTCTTAAATTACAAAAAAAATCCCTAAAAACTCAATCCCTAACCCTAACTCACCGCCGCCCTTTTCGATCACAGTCGACGCCGTCGACATACTCCCTGCCATCCTCCTAGTCATACGCCACCGTAGTTGCCACCGTTGGTCGCCGGAATCGCATGGGATCGTAATTTTCATCATAGGGTTTGCAAGATACAAATCGTCGATCAGCGATTGATTGGTCATGATTTCATAGGGGTATTGGTCGTTGCCACCGTTGGGTTGTTAATAGTTGGATCAAAACAATCTCGTTTTGGTAAGGTACCTACATCGATAGCTGTCAGTCACGTCGGCAGCCATCAACAATGTCATTGCGCCGTTAACAATTTAATGATTTTGTTGTATAATTAAACAAAAATCAAAATTTAATATTATAATTGGTAAAATTGAAAGTCCAATGGTATAAACGATACAACACCTAAAATTCGATAGTATCTTATGTAATGTTTACCAAAAAAATATTTTTTATATTTAATTTTTTAATAAATTAAACTTATTTTCACAGCATCATTCAAAAAATAAAAAAATGCATCATATACTTTTGAATTAACTGCATCATACATCCTCAATCTATGTCCCTCATCTTAAATTGGTCCATAAACTTTTAAACATTTTAATTCTATCCCTAAATTATGATTAAAATTCTAAATTAGTTCTCAAACTTTTAGTATTTCATTTTCATCCCCAAACTATGATATTCATTCCAAATTTGTCACCAAACTTTTTTTAACAATTCAATTTAATCCAAAATTTTACGTATATACTAATCACATCTCTTGTTAATAAAATCATTAGACAAAGTTATATTATTATATGTTTAAAAAAATAAAATTCAGGTTAAAATATGATTGAAATAGATTACATATTTGGATGAATTTGGGGGATAAAATTGGAAGATGTAAAAGTTTGGGACCAATTTAGCATGATATTCATAATTTAGGGATGAAATTGAAATGTTTAAAAATTTAAAGACTAGTTTAGAATGAGATTCATAATTTTGAAATAAAATTAAAATATTTAAAATTTTAAGGATTAATTTAAAACGAGAATCATAATTTGGAGATATGATGCAATTAACTCTGTACTTTCCTATACTTGAAATTTTGATGCCACGTCAGCACCTTCCAGTTCCAAATAAGAGTCCACACTCGTGTAAACTATCAAATATCAGCGCGCGAGTTCTTTTTCATAGTCTCTTATTCCCTCTCCTCTGCCCTAGCGGCCGATACACTTTGGAAAACCCGACCCGAGGAACATTCGGTCCCTAGCTGACCTCTGAAGCAGCTCCATCCTCAGGTTTGAGCTTCGCCCTCTTTTAAAATTCCTGTTTTTGTTTACATTTTCAATGATATCTTTTTTGCTTCTCAATGGAAATAGTTTTGTATGAATCTATGATGTTTTGAGTTGTTAATCTGATGAAATGTGGGATTATGAGAATTGGGTTTGTTCGAATGAGTGGTTTTGAAACCTGGGTTGATGTTCAAATTGAGTACAAAGGTTTGGGATGAACTGGAAGTGAAAATTTTCCTGAGATGCATTGAGATTGTGAGTAGAATCCTCTGGTTCGCCTAGTTTAGTGGAGAACTCTAGTTTAAGTAAGGCAATTACACTAGGTTACATCGGATGGACTGAGACGCCCTTTGAAAATTTCAAATTCTCATTAGGTATTTTCTTTATTTCTCTTGATAATCCGTTTCCGTCCCTAAACTTTTATAAGTTCGCCCCCTAGCATAAAATCATGAGTCCGTCCTTGGTTACATCCACATAACTCACCTGGGAAGGACATGTATCTAAACTCTCCAATCAGCAACTTTAGGGGTTTGTACAACATGTATGCCATCTGAAATAATATCGAGTTGAGACTTATGGAGCTTTCTGTCCAAAAGAAAGATACACTGGACTGTTTGATCGATATGTTTCATGTTTGATGACTTAGAGTTGTGATAATCAATATAAACTTTTGCATTTCAGTCCTACATTATCCAATCCCAACTTACTATTTGCTTCTCGTAATCGCTTCTATTAAGTACTAATGAATATGTACTTAATGTAACAAAAATTGATTTTTTTTGAAAAAGTATAGCATCGACATATATTGGTAATTAAGTCTTAGCACTAGACTGAAATCTTGTGTGAGTTTGAGCTGTAATGATGATCTTGAGTTATGAAGTAGTTCTTACTTTGCATATTCTATGCAGGGATCTTTTCTTGTGTTCTTGTAATACATCATGTTGTATCTACTTATGCATGGTTGAATTTGTATTTGAGAACTTACATATTCTTCATTTTCTTGTGCAGAAAACCATCATCCTGCTTTGCTAATCGAATTTACTGCTTTCGTAAGAATCAAAATGTCAACTGGCCCTGGGCTTGAGTCGCTTGTAGATCGTAAGCTTACTGTGATAATTCCTTTGTTTCTCGAATGTTTTAAGCATAACATCTTAGGCCTAACAAATACTGGGACCGAATACACTCCTTTTCCTTTCCTGGTAGTCTCGATTGGCGTTTTTGTTGTTTACCCCCTCTCTAAATCGTTTCCTTTATATGCAGAGACTATCTCGGTCATCACCAATGATGGACGTAACATAGTGGTACGTTTAGGAATTCTTGCTATATATGTTTTTATCTTTTCAAATAAGCTTAATTCTAAATCGTCTTATTTTCAATGATGTCTTAACCTGCACCATTACTCCATTACTCTACAGGGAGTTCTAAGAGGCTTTGATCAGGCCACAAATATCATTCTCGATGAATCTCACGAACGCGTTTACTCCACCAAGGTTTGTGTCCTATTCAACGGCTTTATTTAAAACAGATATGCTAATTTCTTTCAAGAGTTTTTACATAGATTTCGAGGATCCTACCCTCGTATATTTCTGAATATGTAGTCGATATAAGTCTGGCATGAGTCGGTTTTTTAAAATGAGTCATTATTATTATTAATTTTATTAATTTCTAGTTGAAATTTGCAGGAAGGTGTTCAGCAACTTGTGTTGGGTTTGTACATAATAAGAGGCGACAACATGTATGCTACCATTTAGCATCCTTTTCTGTTCATTATTCTACATTTGCATTTGTTATAGCTTGGCTGACATACTATATATTACATGAACTCGGAGACGAATACTAGATTCAAATATGACCGACATGTCTATATACATGTTTGAAGGATACTATTGTCGTATATACATGTTTGAAGGATAATATCGTCATATATACATGTTTGAATCCGTCGGGCATATGACGCCGGATAACATAAGTTATAAGCAATTCGATAATGCTTTTACTTTAATCTTTGCAGAGGTGTTGTTGGTGAACTGGATGAAGAGCTTGATTCCGCGCTCGACTTGTCGAACCTGAGAGCACATCCTTTGAAGCCCGTTATCCATTGATCGGACTAATGAAGTTGTATTGGCTTTTAAGGACAGCATGTCGGATTAAACACCTAAGAAAAACATGTCAAATAACTGAAATATGATGAATGGAAAGTTGAAAATCAATGTGGTTTCAGTTCTGGATGCATTTCTATGTTATATGGCTGCTGTTTACCTCTTCCATTCCATTTGATCAAACTTCATCTTCCATTATAGGAAGAAACATATTCTGTTTTCTTGACAACATGATTGTTCGAGTCGAACTGAACCGACTATTAGAATCGGCAACTCATAATTTGATCAGTTGAATCGTGGAGTAATATCGGAAATATATTCTGTTTTCTTGACAGCTTGATTGTTCGAGTCGAACTGAACCGACTGGTTGAAGCGGGAACTGATAATTTGATCTGTTGAACCGCGGAGAAATATATTCTATTTTCTTGACAGCATGGTTGTTAGACTCGAACTGAACCGACTGATTGAATCGAGAACTGATAATTTGATCAGTTGAATGGTGGAACAAAACCGGAAATTGTACGAACTGTTAAAAAAACCGGTTGAACCTATAATTTTTTCTTTGTTTCTATTTTCAATTTAATTTTGAGTTGGTGGTTCACTTAGACCGGTTAGCCCAGTCATATTGAAAAATGATAGACTGGTTCGACTATCAATCTAGATTTTCAACATCATTTGATCTTATTAAGATCAAATTAATAGAATATATCTAATAAGGATTGAATGTGTAATTATAAAAAATTTAAACTGACACGTTTGTAAGTTTGCTAATTTAATTGTTAATGCCTTAATGGTTGGTGACTTGATTGATATCATTTTAACATTTAACTGATTGAAAAACTCTTTAGTTCGGTTGTTAAAATAGAATTGACTCTATAGTTTAGTGACTATATAAGTAATTTACCCATATTGTATTGGTTCTATTCATTCATATCTGCCAACATAGACAACTTATTCGAAACATGTTCCCTTCAGGCCTGAATTAAACAAAACAAAGCAAAATCCTTCCTGATCCACTGTACCACAATGTGTATGATAACCATTATTATAAATGTCTACGTTACGACAAGCTGCTCGCCGGTGTCGTTTTCGACCGAAATCCGGCCATCGTGGATAATGAAATACGGTGAACTATGACCTCCTCAATCATCTCTTCCATCGATATTATTCGATGAATCAAAATTCTCGAACCCCGGGAGCTTGCTCATGCTTTTGCCTGCAAAAGAGACGGCTTATGAGATTTGGGTGTGTTTGGTTCGTCAAGTTACACCAATCACTCACCTGGGAATACAAGAAGGTTCCGAGGATGGCAATGGCGGCTCCGAGAGCATTGATCGGCTGGACGGGTGTGTGGAAGATGATGATGGAGGAGACTATGACGAATATGCGTTTCAAGGTGTTGCCGATGCTGAACGTCAAGGGCGAGATCTCATCGAGGGACATGTACGCGACTTGGTTGTCTAGATTATAGAAGATACTCTGTGCCACAACCCACCTACCAAATACGAAATAAAGCCGGTCAGAGAAAGAATGGAACAATGAGTTACGACATAGTATTGTTGTGTTATTACCAGATGAACTGTGGTCCGATTAGAGATACGGCCTCTTTCCATCCGGCCACCCACATATGCACTCCTTCGACTGCAATCGCGAACGGCGTGAGGATTAGAAGCGACAACATCGACAAACATGCGTAGTAATTCATCCCGCTGACAGATGTCCCCTTCATGCCCTTCTTCGAGAATATGTTACGGAAGACGAATGCCAAGTTGGAAATCATAGCTCCCATGAAACCTGAAAATGGACCACGAACAAGACAACATGGTGACTCAAACAACAGCTATGATGAAGATTGTAGTTACGTGTGTTACAAGAAATTAATGCCGTTACCGGTCATGTTGAATTTGAGTTCGGTTAAGGCGGCAAGTGCGCAACCACCGATGATCGGAATAAGGGACAGGTAGACTGCCGGAGGGAACGTATCGCCGAGCAAGAACCTCAAAACTATTACACTAAAAGCGGGTTCGCCGCTTTTAATGATGTGGGTGAATGAAACTGCAACCTTGGACAGACTTACAGTTGCTGCTACATACCCAATTGTATGTGCCACAGCAACCTAGTAAAAATCGAAACATAAGCAGACCAATCATTTTCTTTTCACTTTCTCACCAACCAAACACAAGAAAGTACGGAAATCTCACCGGAAACAGAGCCTTCCAGAACTCGATATCGATTTTTGGGGGCTCGGCGATCCTCGTAACCCACAAAACCATCATCATAAAAGAACCACAGGCAAGGGACAGAGTCGAAGTTAACCAAGGGAAAGGGTAAACATTCAAAACCTTCTTGTTGTAGATATTGAAAACCACATTAAATGCCCACCAAGTAGCAAAATAAATCCCGATTTTCACTTGTTGCGCCCTCTCCGATTTTGCTTCCGACGACGACTTGTCGGATTCGTACGCTTCGCATCGGACCACCGGCTTTTCCTCCCTACGAAAACAGCTCTCTACGGACGAGATATGCAATGGCCTTGACACTGAAACGAGTGTTATCTTGTTGGTGCTGTTGTTTTGAACTTTCAAACATGGCGAAAACGATGATCTAATGGAAGAAAATCTCTTGTGGACAACTGAATTCGAAACATCCATTGTTAAAGCCGATTGCTTGATGCTGAAACTCATTTTCCCCCCGAAATCGAGGTGGTTTGAACAACTGAACAAGTGTTCCGATGAACAAAATCTAATAAAAACTCAAAGTTCTCAAGATCAGGGAAGGACAAACAAAGATAAAATCTATGGAACAAAGCTAAAATACCCAGAAATCACTAGTTTTTCTCTCTTTCTTTTACCAAGAAATGAGCTTATAAATATCTATATAATACCTATTATTAAGGAAAAGAGAGGATTTTATGGAAAGTTCTTATTTGGAGTTTGGAGAGGATATCAAGGCGGTGAACACATTGAAAAGTTCAGCTACGGAGAAACTTTCATAATGTTTGATGAAATAATCATTTCGATCCTTTTTTTGGAAGTACTTTGTTTCTAATGTTTAATTTTAGGATGAAATGTTCTCTGGCTAGATAAAAACGATTACTTGACTAATGGTTAACGCTTATGGTTGATGTGGTGAGTCATGTATCCAAAGTAAAAACAATTACTTGACTAATAGTTAACACTTATGATTGATGTGGTAAGTCATGTATCCAAAATAATAGAAAGCTGCTTAGCGGCAAGTGATGCTACTTCTCCAACGATCCATGTCCAGCTGGCGAAGCCGATAAGTTCCATTGGGCGGGTCGTTTAGCTCAAAGAACTCACCAAGTGTTGAATGGCCAAGTCAGGCTAGCACATCAGTCATACAGTTATTCTCACGGTTAATGTGAACAATCCTAATGCTCTGCTGACATTGGAAGATTCCTCAAATTATGTTAATAATGTGAACACGACATATGACACATCATTACTTTGAAAATATGACATATATCACGTTATTACTTATGTACATGTAACGTGTATTATATCATCATTTATATACACGTAACATGTTAAATTTAGACGAACAATGAATGATGATGACATGGAGCATTACAACAATAATCTCGTCTTTTTCAAATTCCAGTGGCTGTTAAATTTAGACAAAAGAATGGAAGACAGAGAAAGAAGAGGCAAGACCGGTAAAATTAACGAATAAAACGGCTGATTGTTGCTTTTTGCTTACTATTTTTCTTGCATCTCCCTTGTGTTCCGTGAGATGGCAACAATGGCAGTCACCACCAAATAAAATCATAATTAACCAAAAACAGACTTAAAAAAGAGCCATTTTTTTCTGTTTTGTTTCTTCTTTTTGAATAACTATACTTGGCTGGGGCTCTCTCCATTTTCTTTTTCTCCAACCTTTCCCGGCATTTTCCTTTCTGGGTATTTCGTTTTCTATTCGAAAAGATCCAGCTTTTGGTGCTGTTGCTGCTTAAAAAAAAGAAAGATTTCGGGATCATAAAGGAACTTTCTTGGTAAATGTGGGGGGCTCCTGCAGAACCTGCTGATTCTTATTATGAGGTCCGGTCTCAATGCACTTTGCCTGAAACAAAATTTAAGATCAAGGTTTGTTTCCAAATTTGCATGTATGTATGTACGCATGCATATATGTATGTATGTATGTGTAATGATAACGATCAGGGGCGGAGCTCCCTTGGGGCTAAAGGGCTCCGGCTCTAGTAAAATTATTTTATGTTGGATATATTTTTATCTAATAAATTTTAGTTCATGTAAAAATAAGTATTCAAACAAAGAAATATAAGAATTTATTATATATTTAATCAAGTAGGGGCCGAACTAAAGAATGATAATACAATACCAACAACTGGTCGGTCTAGTGGAATGAGGAGCTAGATCCCTTAAGCAAGGTCAGGGCTCGAATCTTGGCGATTACGAATGGAGAAAAATGTGTTTGGAGGGTCGCTCTTGCCTCTTCAGTACCCAATCTGAAATTAGTCGATCAATAGATCGAAAACCGATGGTTATACACAATAAAAGATCACCCAATGTGCTCAATTTTTTTTGTCTAATAACAATGTAGGTCATTATAAATTTAATTATTAGACAAATTAGACATTGTCTTTTGAATTATAAGTTTAAATACATCATAAGTCATTATATTTTTCTTAAAAAGTTTAATATTTTTAGCTCCCGTCTATATTTAATCCTGACTCCATCCCTGATAATGATGCTGTGATTTAATAAAGAACCTGCTGATTCCTAGTATGAGGTCCGGCCTGAATCCACAGATGTGCCTTGAACCAAATTTAAGATCAGGGTTTGTTTCCAAATTTGTATATATTATGTATGTATGTATGCATGCATGCATGTGTATGTAACAATAATGGTGCCGTGATTCTATAAAGAACCTGTTGATTCTTATTATGAGGTCCGACCTGAATGCACTGTGCCTGAAATCAAACATAAAATCAAGGTTTGTTTCTAATTGTGTATGTATGTATGTATGTGTGTGTAACAATAATGGTGTTGTGGTTCAATAAAGAACCTGCTGATTCTTATTATGAGGTCCGGCCTGAATGCACAGATGTGCCTGAAACCAAATTTAAGATCAGGGTTTGCTTCCAAATTTGTTTGTTTGTATGTATGTATATATGTATGTTTGTAACAATAATGGTTCTGTGATTCAATAAAGAAGTTTTCCTCTTGATTTGCTTATGCAGCCTGGTAAAACTCTAAGTGTGAGGAAATGGCAAGCTGCATTTGCTCCAGATGGGCAGCTGGATATCGGCAAAACTCTAGGTCGAATCCATCGTGGGGTAAGTGCTCGAATCAATTGTCGATCATTTTCAAACTCGAAAACTCGAATATCATGTTAAATTCGGTGATCAATTATCCATAAAAATCAAATGCATCAATATATGTTCTGTTTATGTTTGTTTAAATGCATGTACATGTACATGTTTGTGCTTATTGGGGGAGTTTTTGGCGAACATAAGGGATCCGTCCAACGATTAGAGGAGAAGTTTGGGAGTTCCTTCTAGGCTGCTTCGATCCTCAGAGCACGTACGAAGAAAGGGAGCAGCTACTGCAGGAACGAAGGTCAGCGTCTTACCGCCTTCGATCTTATATCGGAAAACCATTAGAATCTGTAATGACATACAAGTTATCTCACATGTTTATCTCAGGTATGAGAAATGGAAGAGTGTTTGTCACGAAATTTTTCCTGTCGTCGGAAGTGGTCAATTTATTACAGCTCCGGTCATAACCGAGGATGGTCAGCCGATTCAAGAACCTTTGGTGGATCAAGAGGCAGATAATGCAGGCAAGTTACTGGTTTAAAATAATTTTTATTTTGGTGAAAATGAAGTAAACCAGGTACTAATATGTGATTAAAAATCTCTCAGCTGGTACTACAACTACTAGTACAGATATGGTGAATGACCTCCTCAGTAAAGGTCCTTTGAATGAGAGAATAATCAACTGGCTGCTCCAATTGCATCAAATATGTATGCCGTTGATGTTATCTCATTCGACTCGGAATGAATGTTGAATATAGATATGTATCTAACACGGGTTTTTTTCGTTAGGTCTCGATGTTAAACGGACGGACAGGACTTTAGTGTTCTATGAAAAGCAAGAGAATTTGGCAGAACTTTGGGATATTCTAGTTGTTTATGCCTGGATAGATAGGGACGGCAAGAAGGTGAGTGATGAAATTTCAGCAATTTGTTTTCTTTGGGATGTTTGTTTGCTTCATTAAACAATTTTGAGCAGGAATGAGTGATCTAGCCTCCCCCATGATAATTCTTCTCGAGAACGAGGCAAATGCATTTTGGTGCTTCGAACGTATGATGTGCAGATTGGTATGTATCCGGCATATGTATGTTCGAATATGTAATGGATACGAATACTCGTCGGTGCATACATTTTTTCGATTTTATCGTTGTCCATGCTTGCTTCTTAGTGTGTGTGTGTGTTGATTTTGCTTCTTACAGAGAGGGAACTTGAGATGCACTGAAAGCTCTGTTGGGGTAGAGTCGCAACTTAGTCATTTGGCTATGGTAACTCAGGTTATCGATCCGAAACTTCATCAGCACTTAGGTACGAAACGAAACTTATATCTATTCATTCTCTCGTGTTCGACAACCCAAGTTCGAATATGCATCATACACGGAGGTCAAATATCGGAACATTGACAAAGAAATGAAGAGCCAGAGCAACAAAAGATAATATCTTGTGAATTTTCTTGTATTTGGTTTACAGAGACACTTGGTGGAGGTGACTATCTGTTTGCTGTTCGAATGCTAATGGTATTGTTCCGTCGAGAGTTCTCGTTTTTTGATTCGTTGTATCTATGGCAGGTATGATACTTATATCCAAACATGTATCAAGCACTCGACATAATCTGGAGTATTTTACTCATAAACTCAGTTGATTTGTACCGGAACAGATGATGTGGGCGCTGGAATACGATCCCGATTTGTTCTATTTGTACGAAGAACCATCATCAAGCATGAATGAATCTAAGATGAGATCAAGATCAATGTGTGATTACATGAAGATAAAAAGCGACGAAGCTCCCCTCCCCATTTCTGTTTTCCTTGTTGCCAGTGTCTTGAAAGAAAAGAGCACCCAGCTACTCCACGAAGCTTGAGGCCTCGATGACGTCGTTAAGGTGACTCTCGAATATGAAAATAAATCCAATTCTTTATAGATACATCCAACGAACCGAACTTTTATAATCGTGTTCGACTACGAACCAGATTTTGAATGACATAACTGGAAGCTTGGATGCCAAGAAAGCTTGTAATGAGGCAGTCAAGCTCCATAAGAAGTATTTGAAAGAGGTAAAAGGCTAATACACATACACATATACATTTATGCTTATGATTTTGATTCCGATATCGATGATGTTGTGATGAACAGGCTAATATGACATAGCCCGTAACGTGAAGCATACGGCGACGTTTGCTTCCCGGTCAAGAAATTAATAATGAGAGTATGTTTTGTTTTGGATGATAATAATTAGTATATAGAGGCACACATAAAAATGTAATTTGCAGGCTGAGGCTGAACATTCCTGGCTTATGAGTTAGAATTCCCAGTAGTTGAATGTCAAAGAAATTAACAATTTAATGACTTTGGATAACAAATTTTGAAAATTAGTGATTGAATTAAAAAAAGTTACAATTGAATGACCAAAACAAGAACACATTTAAAATTAATGACAAAACCGATAATTTACCTGATGAATATGTCACAATGTTTGATTTATATAATTTTTTTAACAAGTTCAATTTCTTCAATACTAAACTCTAAATTTGATTTCAATTTTGTTATAGAAATCTAAATCTTACTTTTAACATAGTATTATCATGATTAATATACTAATTTTCCTTCAAGTAAAATTTTATCACGTTGCACGAACTGAGTGATTTTCGTGGTAAAGGAACGATTATCGTTCCTTGAGACCAGGGTTCTAGCACCGAGAACGTCAGGGGTGTGAGCGTTCAATGTTAAGAGGTTGATAGTTATCTTAGAACATATACTTACCCCATATTAATAAAAAAATAATCTTATCCAGTTATTTTTTTGGGGTAAATTACAAATTTCATCACTAAACTTTACTCTATCCCATTTTGCTCATTAAACTTTAAAAGTTTTCAATTTCTTAATTGAACTCAATACATTGAGTTTTTTTTTGTCACTGGACTTTATTCTCTATCCTATTTTGGTCATTCCGCCATTAAATAGTTAACTGCGTTAAAAACGTCACCGTTTTAAAAAAACAAAACTTTCACTAAAACGAGTAAATTTGCATCTATATGATAGTCCATTTTAACGTCGTTAACTATTTAACAACATAGTGACAAAAAAAACACAATGTATTAAGTTTAGCGATGAAATTGAAAAGGACTTAAAATTTAGTGAGTGAAATAGGGGAGAGAGTAAAGTTAAATTATTAAATTTGCAATTTACCCTTCTTTTTATTAATCTCAATTTCAATTTCTTCTTTTTAATTACTACATGTACTTTTCTAAACTGCATATTTAGTCACCAAACTATATGATTGGTTCTTTTCTAACCATCAAACAAATAATTCTATCAATTAAGTTACTAATGCCTGGTTTTTGTTTCAATCGAACCACCGACTGTTAAGACCGTTAAATCAACTCTGACTGCTAATAGAAATGGTGTCGTGTCCTTTTTTTTTAATTACAATAACAATAATTTTAATCCTTCAATTCTAGATAATTCGACAAAACCATCCTTTAAATTTACAAACTTTATTAATTTAGTCCCCAAAAAATTCTATACCTTTCATCATCATCCCCCGACACTCACAATTTTCCCCACCACTCAACGGCGTCATCACCTTCGCCACCACACGAAAAAAACAAACTACTAAAAATCACAAAACGCCAGGCAGCTTTGAACCTCCTCAGCAAACCAATGAAATACCTGTTCTTTAAATGCCATCTCTTGATGTCTCGTCATGGACATAAGTTTTGGCTTGACAAGCTGTTCATCCGTCAGCAGCGAAATCTACGTCGATATCTTCAATTCCTACAGAACTTTGATTGCTACATGGCTCTTTCACAAGCTGGACATCTTCTAAATCTTTGTCGTAAACAATTCGAACCCGACATTTCTTCACCTTAACACAGTTGCCTCTAATACCGGGTTCGATCGACAATTCAAGTTCATCCCATTCCTGATTTGAGCAGCCTGATGCTGAAAACTTCTCGGTTTCACTTTCACCACAGTTATCCTTTGAGGAAACTGGATATAGTTTGTCACGCGACCAATAACGAAGAAAAAGGTGGTCCTTCATTAAGGGTTGGTTATATTATTGTTTACCTGTACACCAACCTCTCCGATCGACTTCTCGAGTATTCTACCCTGAAAAACAGATCCATCAAAACAATCTTTCCAGTGCAGCTCTACATACAATACTTCTCGAGCCAGAGACACAGGTATGCTGATGAATTGTTACCACTAAGATCAAGAGATCTCAAAGAGGATAGACTAAGAAAGTCTCCTTCAGAAAGATTGCACAAGCTGCAATTTGACAATCCAAGGACATCAAGCTTGGAAAGTAGAGTAAGAGGGCGGGTATACTGACGAAATTGTTACCACTAAGATTGAGTGCTTTCAAAGAGGATAGACAAGAAATTCCACTAGGAATATCCCCTTCACGGAGATGGTAATCCTTTAGTTTCAGCTCTTTCAATGAGCTTTAAACTTGACAACAAAGGCAACATCAGAGGAATGAAATTTGTAATCCCTCTCTGGAATACTTTAAAAAGAGGATGCAGATTTGGACGCAACTTAGATGATCGTCCCTTGCATCCACCGAGAGACAAAACCTTAAGATGTTTAAACAGGAAGATGAAGATTGGTGGTTCTGTTATGGCTGTTTCCCTTGAGTCAAGCTCCTCCAAGAATTATGCTTGCTGCAAATTCCCAACTTTATAACAACCAGAAAGATCAAAAGTTTTTGAACATTCCATTTTCCCATCAATCTCTGGAAACCTTGGAAGATTTGAGCCGCCCGGAAGAACTAATGTTTGAAGAGATTCCATTCCGATTTCGGTTGGAAGGTTCCTAAGACTCTTGCAGCCTCTTAAATTCAAAAGCTTAAGACTCTTAAGAACTCCAACAGATGGATGAACACCTACTAATCTCGTACAACCTTCCAAAACCAAAACTTCAAGATCTGGGGCCATGGCGTCTCGATCAGGTTTCGGGTCCCTTCGAGGTTGATCATTTTCAACTTATACAGGGAAATTAGGCAGAAAATGTAAGAAATCTCATTTTAATCACTCATCTTAATATGTTTGATAACTAATTCTAATTCTTACTCTGGTTCCCTCCCTTAGTTGTTGAATGTGACTGTATCGTAAGAGAAGCGCAACCCAGTGAACCATATTTATGTTCAATGGTTGTTCTCTTTTGTTTATATAATGAGTCGTACGATTAAAAAAATTTATTATTATTTTTGGATTATATTTTTTAAAGTTGATAATTCTCTTTTGATATTTTTTATATTTGAATTTGAATGTGGTTATCAATTAAGATACAAAGGTTAAAAGCCACCAAATAAGTTAAATATATTTTATTAATTTATGATTGTGTTTTAATTTTGTTTTTGTGTATTCTGACTTTTTTTATTATGTTTATAGTTGTCAATTATATATTTTTTTATTATTTTCTTTTGTTAATTATGAAATGTAAGTAAGAGTGTATTATATCGTCGATTAATTATAAACAATCGTTTTTCCTTAGTAGGGGTGGCAAAAAAATCCAAACCCGACGGAAAAAACCGAAAATCGAATTAAACGGGGACGGGAAAAACCGTTTATGCTAAACGGGGATGGGAAAAAACCGTTTATGCTAAACGGGGACGAGGACGGGGACGGGTTTGGTAATCCCCGCCCCGATACCCGTCACGATAAATATTAAAAATTATATATATATATATAATATTAATAAATTTAATTTAAATTAAAAATATATATATATTATATATTTAATTTAAATATATATACCCGCCCGATACCCGTTTAAATAACCGTTTATGCTAAATGGGAATACCCGTTTCCCCCATTATCCGATGGGGATCCCGTTTAAATCCCCACGATTTTTTAAGCGGGACGGGTATGGATTTTTTAAACGAGGACGGGGACCAATACCCGGCCCATTGCCATCCCTACTTATTAGGTTGTTCAAATACCTGTCAGAAAATCTGAAAAATATAATAGAACCGTTCACTGAATACCAGACTCAATGCTCATTCAAGGCTAAGGCATATTCTTATAGGAGAATAGATTAACAAATATTAGCGATAATGAACATCAAAACAAGTAAAGATCAACAGTTCAAGTATATAACAAGTTTCTTTAGCAACAACATGGGTCTGCAAACTTCATCCAAATCCAACGGAAATTCATGTCGAAACCGAGTTCTAGAATTTCAAGGCACAAATGATTCTTCAACTACGCAACTGTATAAAACAGCATACCTGACACTTCCCATACATGTAACTAAACAGGTTGTAAAAGACGAGTGCTATGGCTCAACAACAGTCACCTGTTGCCACTCCCCATCTACAGCTTCTTTCCACAACGTCACGTTGTTGTTCCCATCGGCCACGGCCAGTATGTTTCCGGTCAATGACCATGAAACCCTCCACACAGGTGTACCGAAATCGTTCAATACTTTACCTTCCCACTGGTCCCTTCCTTGGCCACCGTCCATATAATTACTTTCCCGTCCTGGGATGCGCTTGCGATGGTGGATTTCGGTAGCCCCAAGTTGGGTGCCCAAGCGACATCCCGTACCCAATCGGTATGCATTTGAAGAGCTGGAAAGCAGTCCATCTTCCAGATTCCGTTGTAGAGCTTCCACACCTTTACGGTGCTATCACATCCACCGGAACAAAGTTTCTGAACCGGGTCCAACAAGCCAGATCCAACGAGGGCGCCGGGTGCTGTCGATGGAGCCCATGAAACAGACGTTACGCCAACCGGGTGAGCCTGATCGATCCTTGATACATCCCAGCCTCCGTCTGCCCTTGCGGTGAAAACCGATATATTTCCATCGGAAGAACCACATGCCAAACAAAGTCCAAGTTCATGAGGAGCCCAAGCAATTGAATTAACAGATGACTTGTGGTCATCAAACACATGAGCCTGACTCCATTCATTCTGATTGCCTTCCTTCCAAATAATAACTCGCCCATCATAACAACAAGAAGCAAGTAAGAGCCGAACTTTGGATGAGCCCAAGCCACCTGCCATACTGGTCCTTGGTGACCAGTCAGAGTTGCTAAATGCTGATGCGTATTGTTGCTCACCCCAATTATCTTAATCGTGCTGTCTG